TGTCTTCTTCTAAGACTTGTCACTTGTAAATTTATATTTCGCGTTAGCTATGAACAGGTAGATTCTTATATAATAGGAGTGAAATTGAGAAATAAAGTATTGAAAAAATTACAAAATGCCACAATTTTAATACGATTTTCAAATTAGTATGTAAAAATAAGATTGCAGTACTTATAGCTACCATCTTACATGCAATAGTTTTGCTTATTTTATGGCATATTAATAAAACTTTTATAGCGCGTAACAGAATTTGACATATCAGTCATTAATGTACAATAATAGTTCGTAACTAAACGTTCTGCCAATAGAAACGAAATTAAATTAGGATTAGTGATTTAAATGTTGTCACCGTATTAGTTTAATTTTAGTAGCTACAGGATAATTTTTCGCTAAACAATTTCTTATTAAAAATTAAAACAGTTCATAAACTTGATACTTTCTATCCGAGCTTTAGTGTATTAACATAGTATAACCTTTCATAGTAAATCTATACAAAATTAGATATGAATATGCTATATATCTAGATCTGTATATGGCGATGCTCTCGATTAGTGTTGATTCCTGCGATATTCGTTTGATGATAATTATATATAATTAATCGTTACTTACACATATCTAAATACCTTTTCATTCTTAACTTTGACTTTTCATTTGATTTTTTAAGAGCCACTTCTATACTGATACCCTTTTCTAGTTTATTCGTATTGTCTTAATGTTTCATTAAAATTTTGAGGCCCCATTGCCTTAATCCTTATCCTCTATTGTAATTGTAACACTTTCCACATTTTTCGTTTTTCCTAGATTATCATCTTCCATCACTGCACGTGCTTCACTATTAGCTCCTTACAGGACATTTGCTATCACTTCTTTATCATCATCTTCATCTATTTCTTCCGGTTTCCCTCGTTCTTGCGCGACATTTATCTCTGATATTCTAACAGTCCTAATATCCGTTGGTCTACTTTTACTCGGCTGTGTTGTAAATAGGGTTATAATACTTCCTGTTTGTCTTTCTGGTTTCTGACTGTGTTGCCGAAGGGGAACGGCAACCTCTTCCTGGCTTGATTCACTATCGGTAAAAGAGTCGAAATCGTTGCTCTCATCCGGTGGGTCTATTTTATATTTTGCGCTAAGACCGGAAAAATTAAAAGTAATTCATTATTATAAATAATATCACGAATTAGCAGTAGTACAAATATTAAACAAGGTCAGATAACTATGAAAATTGCGAAAGTCTACATATACGGAGTTTTTAATTGTCATTCGTACATAAAATTGGTATGGGACTACTCATATTTAAATAAGATTACCGAGAAATGACATAGAGATAGCTACATAGTTACGAAAAATATCTTACGGTTGTATTTATCTTTGTATACGGATAGTATATCGCAAATCAAATACACTGGCAATAAATCCATAAGTAAAATACAAAGATGATTCTCGCTGAAACTAGTATACAAATTAATATATTTACAAAGCTTATATTTACGTACTCTTTCCGACGACGATACCAAAGACCAATAACAATTAACATTAAAAGTAATATTAAAATCCCTCCAGCTGAACCGATGGCGATGATAATGGTTTGAGAAGCTAATATCATAAGTCAATATAATAAGAATTTTAATATCAGTTCGCTATCTCCAGTATGATATTTGCGATCTTAATGATCTCAACACTTACTAAATTGCAGATTCGTACTCTCACAAGACGGACCATCGAATCCAGTTAAGCAACTGAAATAAATATAATTTACGTTATGCTCATCTTCTATCAAAGTAAATAGCAGTAAGTTACCATCGCCTAATTGCTTAACGTTAAAATTGTAGCGGTTACGCACTTGCAAAGGAAGGTACCATTAGAATAGAAACAAGTTCCACCATTTTGACACCGGTCTCTCGGACATGAAACTATAATAAACCATTGTAATAAGGATCAATTAGTACAGATTATTAGATCTGTACAGTGTACATTAAGAAGTCCATAAAAGATGAACCTACATGTGCATCCTGTAATGCCGTCACCACTATATCCGTTTTCACACTGACACCGAAATCCACCAACAGTGTTTAAACAAGCAGAATTATTTGCACAAAGGGTGGAAGAATTCAAACATTCGTCGATATCTAGATATTACATTTATAAAAGACGAATGTGAAACCTTAATACATATCTTCACGACCAAATGAAGATGATACAAATCAGTAGTAATATAATCATTATAAGTACTACAACATAATAGAAGGGTTAATAAATACGACAATGGCTTCAAAGCTACACAACTATCTACCTTGACATTGATTGGTTTGAGAGTCTAGTTGATAGCCAGAAATACAATGACATTCGAATGAGCCGCGCTTTTGAGTGCAGTTTTGTAGATTGGAACATGAATTGGCCTGCGGATCAGCGCATTGATTGTAATCTATAGAAATGAATTTTTATTCCAATAATTAAGTCGACGTCGCTCAGTTTTTTTAATCGAAAAATTGGTTTTTATTTTACAAAAGTACTGTCATGTTGAGCTTAGTATTCATGTCCATCGCTAGTATTGGAAGTAAATTATTGTAAGCCTCATATCTACTAGCTACTATTGCAAAATGAGTAGCACCATTGTAGTGATTTCAGCTAATTACAGTAGTTTTGTGTATGCAATACAGTGATAGTATGTAGTGTAAAACTGTATGTCTTAATACACTACAGCCATATACCAGCAGATTATTCTATCCTTTATTGAACAGTATACCATATGAAGTACGATCAAGATTGTTAGAGTTATGGACGATAGGTATACATCGTAGAGTACGATTTACATACCTATGGTTTTGATAAATTTAATTAATTTTTAATTACTTAAATTTTTATGTCATATGAATAAAGGAAGATAAACGGTGTTACCGTGATGCTTTACAACTATTGAATGATTGTCTACTATACTATAAAAGCTCAGGGTGGTCTGATTGAATTTACTATTATTTTTCCTAGTACAGATTACGTATCTGTGTGAATATAAGTATATGCAAGCATTTACACTATAGAGTGTATTAAGTATCTTAGACATATCCTGTAGAAGTACAAAGTACGAAGAAAACCACGTTATTCGTAATCGACAATTAAAATTCGTCTAAACCTGTTACTGTAGAATCCACAAACTATCGATCTACTTTATAAAAAAAATAGATCGAACTCTATATTCTCCGGTTAATACGGATTCACATAGATGTGTAATTTATGTAACTTCGATAAAAATAAATTTTGTATATTAATTTAAATTCATTTTAATAGAATACCTTGAAAAATAATTGATTGAACAGGATAGCTGCGAATTTGCTTGACGCTCTGACCAGTGATAACATCTAATAATTGCAGCGTCACAAACGTAGAATTTTGTAATAGCGTCACAGAAAGATCGATAAGTATGGTTCCGTTTCCTAGCCTGGATAAATGGTAAGAGAAATTTTGAAGTGTTATGATATTTATTATAAATTCTTACATACTTGCTAACTATAAAACAATTCTTAGATAAGTATTTGTATCATAAAATAGTAATTATACAGCTAAGTTGACCATATAAATAGTTTTACCTCAAATTAACAATTGTGACTTGCTGAACCGCATACTGTGTTCTAACGTCTACCATTAAGGCTGCATTCACCTACGCAAAACATCAAGAATTAATTTACCGATTTGAAAATGTCAATGGTAGTTATGAAGCACCGCTTAATATTTGTAAAAATGACCTCTTGAAGGTAATATTTAATCATAAGTTTTTACCTTGGAATAAGCTTCGGATGTTAATGATAAATATGCCTGACTGAGGGGATTGTTCAGGTCAGTTGTAAACGTACCATTAAGTATGATTAATCCAGTGTAGTATAAGCCAGCTAATAAGGGAATTTTAAGTTTTAGGTATTGAGATAAAAAAATCCAAATTTATTCGCGCTTGCACTTATGCTAAGCATAATTTTATTCCTAATTAGCGATTATTATCACTATCGTTAGTATCCTATTAATTTTACCGGATTTCTAAGTCGAGAAAAGATCCGTAAATACTCAAGCCTATGCAAAAGTGCGCTCAGTGGCTTTACATTACTATCCTAATATATATGATATCATTGCAGAATTCACTCTACTTTCTTTGATTTATTAAGTCTACAAACAGTATAATGTAGTTGGGCACGTGACCCTATCAGTATTGCAATTATTAGCGAAAAGGAAATACATTTAGCCAAAGTTTTAATGATTACAGATTACTTTATTAGACCTATGATTTTATTATACGTAAAATCGCAGAAAATGCTAAGTTTATACGTCCACTATGAGCGCCTGCGCCGAAAACTTTTAAGTATGCCTGTATATATTCGATGTTACAACATACGGTGAAACTAAGATATTCGTGCTACATACAACAAAACGAAACAAATAACGAAATTAACGCCTCTAATTTTTCGTATTTATCTTCACTAATTATATATTTCATCTTAAAAGTATCTGATTGATGCCAAAATTAATATATCGAAGTTGACCGTAATTTACTGTAGAAATCATGGGATTGTAATTAGTTCCTTTGCAAAAGATGCATTTCTCAACATTTCATATACTTCATAAATGTAGCAATAGCTTAGCGCTTTCAACTATTTTAAATTTTAATTACCTTGACAACTTGTTGTGGTAGCATTTGGGCTTCGTTTTGTATAAAAGCCTTTTTTACAAGTGCAGTAATAGCTACCCAGAGTATTGTGACAAATTTCCTCCTTTCTGCAACTTGACGAATTATCGCATTCATTGATATCTAATAAATCCGTCATCGATAAATTTAGAATTAGAGATAAGAACCAGACTCTTGCAGTAACCTATTAACTTAATGAAGGCTATTTTATGGAGTAAAAATAATATCGACATCGAGCAATAAAATTACCGGTACAAACAGTTCCATTTCCAGTATATCCGTTGTTACAAATACATTGGTAACTACCAACGAGGTTATTACAAGTAGTTTCTTTTGCACATATGTTAGCGTTATTGCACTCATTGATATCTTTATAGAGTAACGGAAGAAAATTAAAAAGCATTGCTCAATTCGCAGTTTCGTTAAAAAACTAGAACAGATATAAAATCACTGTTATTAAAACCTGCACAAATGATACCATTTCCCTGAAAACCACTATCGCACAAACAATTGTAACTACCAGCAAAATTTACACATATTGCATTACGACTGCAAAGATTAAGATCGGGACGGATACATTCATCGATATCTACAATCAAGTGAAGCCCAAATCAATTTCATGAAGATTTTATCGAAATACGCAATTTGTCAATTTGACGGTACGAAATGTTAACCAAATCCTAATTCTACCTTGACAAATTCCTCCAGTAGCAATAAAACCTTCGACACAATCACAGCTGAAAGAGCCGAGGCTATTAACACAGATGGAATTGCTCGGACATAATCCACTATTGCTACATTCATCGATATCTGAAATATTGCCAAGCAATAATCAAAATGATAAGAATTACATCATGCTCGATGTTAAGCAGTACCGCAGTGTCTTGTTACGTCAGATCTTTTCGTAACCTGCACGTAACGTCAGAACTAAAAATATTCTTATTGCTGTTCATTACCTCGACAAGTTCTCCTATCAGTGTTAAGTTGATAGCCAGTGCGGCAGCTACAGTAGTAGCTACCTTCTGTATTAGTACAATTATCTGCACAAATTGTAGGGTTGTTCTCACATTCATTTTCATCTTGCATCACGAATGTTGAGAAAAGATTAATTAAATGATCTAATTTTCTTACTGTTATAAACTCTATGCTTTAAAATATCATGCATATTTTGATACCTATGCAGGTGACTTGATCTGCGGCTAAGCTATATCCAAGATTGCAACTACAAGTAATCGTATTGTTGATTACAGCGCATAACTGTGTGCAATTGCTTGCGGTAGAATTGCATGTTACAATGGCTAAAGAGCAAAAAAATAAAAATCTTATCATATAAATAAGTACCTAATCGATTTACGAAAGCTATAACTTACGTGAGCATGTTTTATTATCGCTATTTAATGTATATCCTGGTCTGCATTCGCAACTATAACTACCATAATCGTTGATACAGATTTGATGACAGCGTTGAGTGATGGCACATTCATCAATATCTAGATGATAGAAAGTTAGATATACAAACTATTAAAACAAAAGATATTATTAAGTCCTAAAGTTTTACCGAAAGAGCATCAAAGTTTTATGCAACGAATTTTAGGTTAGTACAGCTAGCTGGAGTATCATAGAGAGCCTGACTACCACACTAATAAGCATATTTAATAGATGGGTCGATACCGAAATATTACTTGATGAATACCTTTACAGTCCAAATTGTTTGTATCAAGTTCAAATCCTGCTTGACATTGGCATGAATAATTACCAACCGTATTAATGCAAGTCTGGTTGCAAAGATTGTCTCCAGTTTCGCATTCATTAATGTCTTGATGAGTACAGCACATAAATCATAGCAAAGTATAGCTGAGATTAGCTGGCATGAAGTTGTATATAATTTATGCCGTTAGCTATATACAAAGCAAAAATTCAGTAGGACCTAACATGATTTTCATTACGTCAATTATCTAACGATACATTAACCAAAAGTTATAAGGTGATTTAAAAGGTAAGCTTACGGTATATATTTACTTACCGAAACATTTCTCTCCATCGCCTTGCAAACCGCCAGGACATGGTCCGCACGTAAATCCGATACCAGGCGCCGGTACCAGGGTGCAGGTCACATTTTCATAACAAGGACTACCAGCACATTCATCTAGTCTTTCAGTACAAAATGTACCAACCCATCCTGCGCTACACTGGCATACAGCATATCCTGTATCATTTATAGTTACAAACTCGACGCTTCAAGAATGGAAATTGCAAAGAAAAGGCGTTAATATTAATTTCATGCTTTCGTTAGCTATAAAGCCGTATGTCAATGTCAAAGTCATCAAATTAGCAGTAGCAAGATATTGCGGTACCATAAAAATATTAAAAACAGTAAAACTAGACGTTCCCTAATAATTCTTTATTCTTAAATCTTGTTGTAATCAATATTCATGCCGCAATTAATCGATATATTTATTCGTTATTTCATTAAGGGAAACAATTGTTCAATCTATTCAAGGGATTATCACAAAAACTTACTCGTACTGACACGTTCCGTTATTGGCACAATAGCACATAACAACAGATGGTTTGAAAATAGCTGATAAATTTTTGGAATTGGTAACAGCAAACTCGAAGGACAAATTCTCGTATGTACTAACATCCCAAGTAAAGGTATTTGTTTGATTGTCAACTGACGCACCAAGGGGTAAATTAACCGAGGTCACCGTTAATGTTTCCTTGCCATTAGGATCAGTAGCATTTAATGTTGTAGTAAAAGTCTGTCCATAGGTAACATTAAAAATACTTTGACCAGTTATTGTAGGCGGGAAAACAACTGTAAATTTGAATTGATATCGTTTATTGCAGTGACAAAAAGTGATTATTAAAAATCTTCTATTGGCATATAAAGACTTACTTATATCAGCTTGAGTGGTCGCAATAGCTTGTGAAATGTTCTTACCGCTAACAGCGACTGGAATACTTAGAGTTTCCGCAGCGTCAAAGAGACAAGCGCTGTCACCTTTACATAATTGAATTGCTTGATCGCGAATCTCTGTATTATTTTCGAATATCACGTTAATATCCTTGGAAAAGTTTGGTATAAAAGATGGATCGCTGTAGTTGCCCGTTCCCATACCAGGAGAGTAACTAAACAATGATGAGCTCGCATTTATTTGCCCTAAAGTCAAAGCATGACAAAAAGCAACATTAAATCGCATTATCGATCTAATATAACTAGTTTCAAGGCATACGTTGAGAGGCTTATTAGATAACATTAACAGCCTGATGATTAAGAGTATGTGAAAAAAGATTCTAAACTTTAACTAATGCATGGATGAATAAAACCATGCATAATAGAAGAATATGCAGTAAATCATCAAGTTTCGAATATACTAAAAATAGGTAGAGATACCATAAAAATTTAATTCGTTAAAAAACCGCAAGTAGCGTATTGCCTTGTCGGACGACCAATTAAAACGAGATAAATGAGCTATTACCGTATAAGCATCACTGATAATAATAACTAGGCGCAATTTTTTATGAAGAGAACGTTCAGTCTACTACTAGAACTCATGTTGAAATTAACAGGTGATGACAATTCTTTATCCTAGGGAACTACATGTAAATATCAAGGGGTAATAACAATTTGAGGCAGGATTATAACATTACATAATGCAAATAGTCATAATAAAATGCCAATTACTCTAAAAAGTTACATCCAAATAGGACCTTGAAAAATTCTGAATATCTACACCATTTTCTAATACCAGAAGTATATTAAAGTCATACTGATGTTGTTGATAGCAAGACCCTGCTATTTGCGAAAAGGTAATACTGTACGTAATTAGGTGAAGAGCCTATCTAGAAAAGGAAAACATGGAAAATTTTTCGAAGTAACTACTATTGTATGAGTGTTTCAATTTTATTTTCGATTTAACGATAATGTGTATGCTGTATAACTACCATAAAAGGATTAAGGCGTGGTTAAAGAGGATGTATGTAATCTTCATACAGTAGCTATTAATAAAGAGCTTGGATATCGGTAAGTAAAGTTACTTTTCGTTATTGCTAAGGTGTACGAGGAAGACTACTTTACGAAGTTAAATCTTACTATCTTGTTGCTTATTCAGATTGATTGCTTCCCCACTTAGATTGTAGAGACATTTGTTCTACATATAAGAGCTGAAAGTAAGGTTGTAGGGCATTATAGCGTTACTAATGGAAAAGACTCCGAAAACCACCTTATTATGTGCAAATTGAGTCTATATGATTTAGAATGTAAGGGTAATCTGCATCTTATAGTACAGTAGTATAATAGGCTTGAAAATTTGTTAAATTTACATATAGATCGAGGCAAAATAGCTTCCCAGATGAGGCATGAATACAAAATAATTGAATCACTATATTATATCGTTGCAATAGGTTGCAGAAAAGCCTTTATGCAAAATAAAGATATGCATATGAGATTTAAATATTTAATGGACTTACATAGCTGGCCAAATTGATGATAAATTTCTCGGTCTGTAGCATTAATGTTGAGGTAAGTTCCATCAGGACGCAAGAAATCATCTGTTACATTGCCGTTAAAAGTTCCTAATAGTCCTTTGGTGATTCCAAATATTGATTGAGAAGTTACAAGTGAAATGACCAGTGTTTTAGTTACTATCTCAATCTCCGCCGTTATACCAGATGTAAATGAAACTAAATATTTCGTGTCCTGTTTGGATATTTCAAGATTGTTGAACGATAACACAGTGTCATTGAGGAGATGGGTATCATTGTAGGTAGAATTTTTATTTACAGTGATTGTAACTGTATTAGTAATGGCATTTAGCTTTACTTCAACAGTATCTGAATCATTTTTAGACATAGCAAAAGCTGAAAAAACACTTCCTTTAGCCAACTGCGTCGTATTCGTAATGTAAGGCCTTCTAGTACGTCCTTGAAGTGTGAAGAAATTGTTATCCGATTCTAACAATGTGTACTCTCCAACGCCATTAAATGTATATGATTTACCATCTAGTGTTTGAATATGTGGATCACCCCACATCCACGCTATAACATATATTTAAGAAATTACATCAGTGATAAAAGGACAGTTTTATAACTAAATTTGCCTCTAAGAATATAAGTACAGACAGGTGAATTGGAGGCGTATTAATCTATGATATATCCATATCAAGAACTGATGAGCAACTGGAGAGAAGATATTTCACTATATATAGTACAGTAAATAGTAGACTTACACCAACGAGGTGGCCTGTAATTTCTACAAGTATCAATTGGTCTTCTATTCTGATACAGGTTGCATAAACGCGATAGTTTACAGCATGCTTTATAAGCTTCTTCATCAGCTAGCCGAAGGGAACGCGTAACATAAACAAATGAGCTGCCCGTCGGATAGGAACGTATTAATGCGCCTGCCCTATTTCTATTTGTAGAATAACAACAGCGTTGCCAGACCTAATTTGGGATATAGTCAAATTAAAAAAGTTAATGAATGACATTTGCAAGCGTACGCTCTTCTTTGTTCCATCTTCAATTTTGAAAAACAATTACCCTTGGCGGTCTCGACCACAAGTTGCTATACCTCGACGGCCATGTCCACCGCCATCCCCAACCTGGAAAAGAAAATCGAGATGTAGCGCAACCAGTTCTTCGGTTGTATCTAAATCTGGGATCCGCAATAGCTTGTGCTGCTCGGCAAGGACACGCTGGTAATGATCGCCGATAGTAAATAGAATATGCTTGCGCATTATACCATCGACTGCACTGAGTAGCGTAATTAACATGTTGGACATCGGGATCGTCCACTCGGAAAGCCCATTTGCCAATTTCTCCTGTATTGCCTCGATATTGATCAATCCTGAGGAGTTTTGTATTTCTTCTTTGCGACCAAGGTATTTCGTAATAATAAGGTGCCAATCCATAAGAATAACCGATACGTGCTCTAATCCATGGGGTTCTTTTCCACCAGTTGAAACCGTTAATTTCATAATTAAACAAACTGAAGAGATTCTTTCCATTTGATATCAATACCAATTGAAACGTGTTATACTATACAGAAAATCGTAAGGGGTAATTAGCAACTACAATATATATATATATATATATAATATAAACGCTACAATTTATCCATGTCCGCAATTATTGCACTATAAATAACTAAAAGAGGCAAAATTGACCACAAAATCAATAATTAATTATTGAAAGTGATACTACCTCATAAATTATTAAAGATAAAACCTTAATAAGTAACTACTGTATCCCGCTATTCTTAAGAGAGTGAGCTTACCTCACGAGGAAGGCGATTCCAGTAATACCAATATGGATAAGCGACCAATTTGTACCAAGTAATGACAACAACATGAGTTGCCGTAAAGTTGTTCACCGTTTTCCGAAATATACCATACAAGGCATTATTAGTATCGTTGGCCATTAGCTGTTGAAATCGATTGACATCATTAGTAGCGTTCCTGAGAATTTCATCTGATATTGGAGTCTGTTGGTAGCTTAAGTATTGCTGGTAGTAAACATGAGATACGCTTTGCCTTCGAAGATCGGAATCAGCAAAGTATGGTGCAATGATTGCACGGTTAAGTGGCCTTGGAAACGGACGGGTTGTAAAGCCCGGATATGGAAATCCCAACGAAATAACTCCATCAACAGAGATCTGAGTATTAAATCAACACACTTTAATTATTACCAAAAGGAAATATTGCAATTGGAAGTCGTGAAATACATATATTTATGTGATTATTACAATCATACAGTAATTTAACTAAGTTAGTTTGATTGGTATTACTACGAAGTATCATTAGTATCATTCAGTCTATTTACGTATAATCCTCTGTATGATGTTTGCATATATGAAATCGGCTCCCTTAAATATAGATATCTATAGCCTTGATCCGTTCTACCAAACGATCTATCCCCAAATTGTGCTCCGTAAGGATATAACCTAGTAGCTAAAATATTTAGCATCGATTGAGGTTCAATGCGTGCTGTGGTAATCAATGGAAACCTGGCCAATAGTCAGGGATATTACGTAAAATTGGGATTACCTTCTTGAACGCATTGAAATCCATTGCCTTGCAAACCATAGTTGCAAACACAATAATAAGATCCAGGGGTATTATAGCAAGTCGCTAATCGACTACAGGTATGTCCACTGTTGCACTCGTTGATATCTAGATGCAATAATTTAAGCTGATGAACAGTACTTATAAACTACTGAAATATTATCTATGAAAGTATAATCACCAAAGCAAAAGAAGCCACCCCGTCACTAACCTGAACAACTCCTACCATTACCAAGAAATCCAGAAGAGCAACTGCACTCATATGAGCCATAAAGATTAATACATGTTGCGTTATGATGACACTGATGCTGATTGGTTGAGCATTCATCGATATCTAGAAATGAAAAGTACAAATATTGTTGGGAATAAATTCATAGATGCTTTACAACTAGATATCGAAACAAAGAACGTACCTTGACAGTATGTACCATTGCCCTCAAATCCAGACATACATGAACATGTATAGGAACCGATAGTATTATTACAGGTACTATTACTATGACATTGATTATTGGTGGTGCACTCATTGATATCTAGATATAGATTTTAAGAACAATATAATTATTAATGCATTAAATATCAGCAGAAATCATAAACTTGCGATTTCATTACTACCTTGACAATTTCGACCATTACCAGTATATCCTACTATGCAAGAGCATGCATACGAACCAATTGAATTTATGCAGTTGGCCTTACTATGACAATTGCTTTGATTCATTAAACATTCATCAATATCTATAAATGTAAAAGAATAATTTATAGCTTTTACATAAAATAAAGCTATCAATAATGATATTGCATAACTCATTGCCAATAAACTATAAGCTTCACAACTGGTAACAAAGTAAAGATGATTAAATACCATTGCAAGTTATTCCATTGCCAGTAAAACCTATTTTGCATAAACAAGCATAGGATCCTATAGTGTTCTGACATGAAGCGTTGGTATGACAATGATCTGTACCAGTTTGGCATTCATTTATATCTATCAACAGAATCACTTATCAATAAGCAATGTTCATTGATAATAATTTCTTCAATTACATTCTGATTATCATTTTATTAATGGCTAATCAATCAGAATTTACCAACGCAAGTAACTCCATCTCCTAGGTACCCTTGGTTACACGAGCAGTTAAATGAACCACTGGTATTAATGCACGTAGCATTAGTACTACAGTTATCAAGGTTATCTAAGCACTCATTAATATCTACGCATAGAAAGCATAAAAGGCTAAATGTTAACATCGACTTAAATTATATATAATTAACGCTAATGACCCTCGTAAACGTGAATATAGTGGCATTACATTCACTTTCATCCACAATTAGGAAATTGAAACTTAATATTTGCAATATTAACTAATAAAACTAAAATGTTGCTATATTATAACGTAGCTTTTATAACTGCTTAAATAGCTTTCAAACCTGTACAATATGTGCCATTTCCAGTAAATCCAGATTCGCATAAACAATTATACAACCCAGATGTGTTAGTACAGATTGCGTTAACGTGGCATAAGTTAATATCGACGGAACAATCATAAACGCCAGGTAACTTTGAAGAAGTTACTATAGCTGTAAATTCGATGAACGCATGATCATTAAACTATTCATCGTTACTTAATATTTAAACAATTATCAAATAAATTCTTTGTAAGCAAAGAGCGGCATCCGTGGCTACACTTTAAAATCGTTATAGTCATACTGTTACACACCTTCTGATATGGTTGATGGCACAATTGTCGCTGATTCTAGTATTTGCGTTGAAATCATTGCAGAGCTACTCGTAAGGTAACTGGTTCCAGGAATCGAATCAATCGAAGCAATCGAGGCTATATGAGTTGCAGAAGAATTTTATGGAATCATAAGTAACTAGAATACCGTATCTGATTTCAAGAAATATGTTTAAAAACTTTTAACAAAAAATAATTATACGAAAGTTATATTATCAGTTAGATAATTAGATGCAATCGCTGCTACTTTACCAGAGCTGGCAATTGGTACTTTAGTCGTCGAGTAACCAGATGAATACATAGAGGAAGTTAACCTTACATCGAAAACTGATGATGTATATTTGACCGAGCTAGCTAGATTAACAACCGCAGAAGAATCGATTGTATTACGCAACGATGATAAAATCAGAGGAACCGAAGCGGACGCTGTCATATATTCTGACGACTGCAAAGATAAAGTTGAATCTAAGTTTGAGAGTAAAGCTGTAGAAGATGAAATTAGAGGAACCGAAGCGGACGCCGTCATATATTCTGACGACTGCAAAGATACAGTTGAATCTATGTTTGAGAGTAAAGCTGTAGAAGATAAAATCAGAGGAACCGAAGCCGACGCTGTCATATATTCTGACGACTGCAAAGATATAGTTGAATCTAAGTTTGAGAGTAAAGCTGTAGCAGCTGTAACGGATCCTAATGAATCAATACTTGGCGAACTACTGCCAAAATTTAAGAGAGTAGAGGACTGTGACTGTGATAATGTAACATATTCAATTGTACTTGTATGGAAATTCGGCAATACGGAAGATGTCGTAGAACTTAGTAAACCTTCGACTGTTATACTACCATCAACGCTTGGCGAATAAACTGAGTAAAATGCTGATGTTGTCGAATATTGTGATTTCAGCGTAGATTCGACCAAAATGCTAATAGTACCTGGCTGCAAGGAAGTGGTTACACCAAATAACTCGCTAGTTAAGCTAGAACTGTTAAAATTAGAGGGTAAAATTTCTGTGTAACTGGTTTGCTGTGATGAATCCGATGTTACAGCTATCGAGCCTTTTTTAGAGAGTGTAACCCCAGTTACGGAGCCATCAGTAGTAGATATCACAGGAAATTTAGTAAATGACAAATCCAAAACTGCGGAACTACTAATACGTGTTGATAAAGAAGCAGAATACGTTTGTAATACTGATAAAAATTCGGATTGATGGGCAGATGTAGTCGAAATAACACCTACACCTGCTCCTGCAGAAGATTCAATGGTGCCATCAGAATTCGATGGATAAGTAAAAACTGACGACAAAGTTGCTAAATAATCGGTCTGCTGAATAGAAGGAGTCGAAATGATATCTGTACCCGACGAAATAATAGACTTGATCGTACTCGGCAATTCAATACCAAAACTACTGCTATACGATCTTCCTAAATGCGAAGTAGCTAGTTTTGAAGTTACTGAATATTCGGGTTGTGTTGTCGCAGTAGTTATTATTCCAACATCAGATTGCGTAGAAATACTTGTAGAACTTGATTCAATTATTACCGAATCAATACTGACAGAAGCCAAAGAATAGGCCGAAACTGATAGCGTAGTCAATGAATCTCCTAGCAAGACTACTGACTTGGACAAACCAATAGCAGTGCCAGATACAATAGGAGACTCGAAAGCACTGCTATCAAAAGCGATAGAGCTATCAATAATATCGATAGATGATGGTATAATCGATATTCTCTCTATCGATGTCGCTATACTACTAATATCGTCTATATAAAATAAAGATTTAGAAAATTTATTACAGTCGAATATTTACTTCTATATCTATATATCTACAACATATTCTAACCTGACGATGCTATAACGCTCGCTGTTATTTCTCTATCGTCTAAAGATGATACCGGTATATTGTCTGATATTATACGTGTACTACGCTCATCTGTAGTACTTGTTTCTATCTCGCTTTGACTTTCTATTTCTCTTGGTAGTACTGTCGATGTTAGTATGTCTTCTAACGACGATGGCGTTGCAAGTATCGATTCTGATATTATTGTGCTAATAGCTTGTGATTGTATACTGCTATCGAAAGCGATAGAGCTATCAATAATATCGATAGATGATGGTATAATCGATATTCTCTCTATCGATGTCGCTATACTGCTAATATCGTCTATATAAAATAAAAAATTTAGGAAATTTATTACAGTCGAATATTTACTTCTATGCATATACATGAACAAGTAAGCCTAACCTGACGATGCTATAGCACTCGCTGTTATTTCTCTATCGTCTAAAGATGATGCCGGTATATCATCTGATGTTATACGTGTACTACGCTCATCTGTAGTACTTGTTTCTATCTCGCTTTGACTTTCTATTTCTCTTGGTAGTACTGTCGATGTTAGTATGTCTTCTAACGACGATGGCGTTGCAAGTATCGATTCTGATATTATTGTGCTAATAGCTTGTGATTGTATACTGCTATCGAAAGCGATAGAGCTATCAATAATATCGATAGATGATGGTATAATCGATATTCTCTCTATCGATGTCGCTATACTACTAATATCGTCTATATAAAATAAAAGATTTAGAAAATTTATTACAGTCGAATATTTACTTCTATATCTATATATCCACAACATATTCTAACCTGACGATGCTATAACGCTCGCTGTTATTTCTCTATCGTCTAAAGATGATACCGGTATATCGTCTGATGTTATACGTGTACTACGCTCATCTGTAGTACTTGTTTCTATCTCGCTTTGACTTTCTATTTCTCTTGGTAGTACTGTCGATGTTAGTATGTCTTCTAACGACGATGGCGTTGCAAGTATCGATTCTGATATTATTGTGCTAATAGCTTGTGATTGTATACTGCTATCGAAAGCGATAGAGCTATCAATAATATCGATAGATGATGGTATAATCGATATTCTCTCTATCGATGTCGCTATACTGCCAATATCGTCTATATAAAACAAAAGATTAAGAAAATTTATTACAGTCGAATATTTACTTCTATATCTATATATCCACAACATATTCTAACCTGACGATGCTATAACGCTCGCTGTTATTTCTCTATCGTCTAAAGATGATACCGGTATATCGTCTGATGTTATACGTGTACTACGCTCATCTGTAGTACTTGTTTCTATCTCACTTTGACTTTCTATTTCTCTTGGTAGTACTGTCGATGTTAGTATGTCTTCTAACGACGATGGCGTTGCAAGTATCGATTCTGATATTATTGTGCTAATAGCTTGTGATTGTATACTGCTATCGAAAGCGATAGAGCTATCAATAATATCGATAGATGATGGTATAATCGATATTCTCTCTATCGATGTCGCTATACTGCTAATATCGTCTATATAAAATAAAGATTTAGAAAATTTATTACAGTCGAATACTTACTTCTGTATCTATATATCCACAACATATTCTAACCTGACGATGCTATAACGCTCGCTGTTATTTCTCTATCGTCTAAAGATGATACCGGTATATCGTCTGATGTTATACGTGTACTACGCTCATCTGTAGTACTTGTTTCTATCTCGCTTTGACTTTCTATTTCTCTTGGTAGTACTGTCGATGTTAGTATGTCTTCTAACGACGATGGCGTTGCAAGTATCGATTCTGATATTATTGTGCTAATAGCTTGTGATTGTATACTGCTATCGAAAGCGATAGAGCTATCAATAATATCGATAGATGATGGTATAATCGATATTCTCTCTATCGATGTCGCTGTACTACTAATATCGTCTATATAAAATAAAAGATTTAGGAAATTTATTACAGTCGAATACTTACTTCTATATCTATATATCCACAACATATTCTAACCTGACGATGCTATAACGCTCGCTGTTATTTCTCTATCGTCTAAAGATGATGCCGGTATATCGTCTGATGTTATACGTGTACTACGCTCATCTGTAGTACTTGTTTCTATCTCGCTTTGACTTTCTATTTCTCTTGGTAGTACTGTCGATGTTAGTATGTCTTCTAACGACGATGGCGTTGCAAGTATCGATTCTGATATTATTGTGCTAATAGCTTGTGATTGTATACTGCTATCGAAAGCGATAGAGCTATCAATAATATCGATAGATGATGGTATAATCGATATTCTCTCTATCGATGTCGCTATACTGCTAATATCGTCTATATAAAATAAAAATTTAGGAAATTTATTACAGTCGAATATTTACTTCTATATCTATATATCCACAACATATTCTAACCTGACGATGCTATAACGCTCGCTGTTATTTCTCTATCGTCTAAAGATGATACCGGTATATCGTCTGATGTTATACGTGTACTACGCTCATCTCTAGCACTTGTTTCTATCTCACTTTGACTTTCTATTTCTCTTGGTAGTACTGTCGATGTTAGTATGTCTTCTAACGACGATGGCGTTGCAAGTATCGATTCTGATATTATTGTGCTAATAGCTTGTGATTGTATACTGCTATCGAAAGCGATAGAGCTATCAATAATATCGATAGATGATGGTATAATCGATATTCTCTCTATCGATGTCGCTATACTACTAATATCGTCTACATAAAATAAAAGATTTAGGAAATTTATTACAGTCGAATATTTACTTCTATATCTATATATCTACAACATATTCTAACCTGACGATGCTATAACGCTCGCTGTTATTTCTCTATCGTCTAAAGATGATACCGGTATATCGTCTGATGCTATACGCGTACTACGCTCATCTGTAGTACTTGTTTCTATCTCGCTTTGACTTTCTATTTCTCTTGGTAGTACTGTCGATGTTAGTATGTCTTCTAACGACGATGGCGTTGC